CATAACCCATTTCATATGAAATCGGATATTTAAATTATCAACAATTTGCTTTTCACTTAACTTTTTAGGAATTATTAGTTCTTCTAGTGCACATTCCATATTATTTTCAAATTTTATTGGTGGATTAAAATAATAATTTATTTCACAGTTATTATTTTTATTTGTTAAATATAAATAAAATTTATTATTATACGATGATAACATTTTTAAAACAATTTTTGTGGTCTTATTATTAATATAGCTATCATTTTACCATATCTAAGTAGTAAATCATTGTTACTATCGTCTTTTATATAAAGCTTTATTGAATTAAATTCATTAAATTTTAATGGTACAAAATGTTTAATATCAAAATCAAATTTCATAAAGTCATCTTTTTCGCTAATTGCTGTGGGTATGACACGTAATAAATTTAATTTACTATTATTATAATAAGATTCTTCTATTATATCACAATATATGTGAAAATAATTAATAGTTTGAGAGACTTTAATTGGCTGCACGTCAGTTACAAAATGTTTAATGTCATCAATGTTATTACGTAATATATTCAATTCTGATTCAGATTCTGATGTAGGAATTGGCTTTTTCAATATATTTAAACTAGTTTTTATATTTGCAATATTGTATTTATTAAATCCTAGCAATTTTTTTAATTTATCATTAAATTCTAAATAAAATAAACCTCTTAAACTATAATATTTATAGGTTTTATAATTGTCGGTTGGTGCAATTATTTCACTGGTTTTGGGTATAAATGGATCTTTTAAATCAATAGCAAAATTTCCATTTTTTAATTTATATATATGCTTCTCAAACGAAAATTCAAATGGATTTATAATCCATTTTTTATTTAAATCACTAGGTTCGCAGTCTTTCATATATAATATTTCTTTATATTTTTCGTTTATTAAGTTATTAGCTTTTACGTTTAAATCACTAATCAGCTGTTTCAAATTTTCACGCCAATGTTTAGTTGTTGAATGATTTAAGTTTATCTTTTCAATGTAATGGTTACCATATTTATAATTTTCATTTTCTAGTACATTAATTGAATTTACTGTTTTATCTGTTGTTCCAAGTAAATCTATTACTGAATTTACTACATCAATTTCATCTTCTGATAAATCCATTATCCATTTTAAATTAAAAGTTATTTCCAAATCACTTAATAAATCCTTTTGATCAAGTTTTTTAGGAATTATCAATTCTGCCAAAGCACATTCCATCGGCACATTGTATTTTATTGTTTCATTAAAATTTACATTAAGCTCACATTTATCACTATCATTTGTTAAATGAAAAATTTGATTTTCGTTTTCTCAGAAATAATCCATTTTTAATTAATTTTTATTAATTCTTTAGCATAATATGATCCTCGTATAATTGAACCAGATTTGTCACGCACTTTGTATTTATAATATGGAGAAGTATATAAAATTTTAGCTATAGTGAATATTTCTGTACTATAATTTTCTAGATATCCTTTATCAAAAATATTTCTTAGTAACTTAATTTTAACTTTATCTCCTAGTTTATATACTTGCTTTTCTCTAACAATAGTTGTATGATATAGATTATTATAAACATATATTTCATTCTCTTTAGTGACATCAACTGGTTTGTATTTTGTACGACTATGTACTGTATTATTATATGTTAAAATAATATTATTCAAAACATCAATAAAATTATCAGTTTTATTATAAAACAAATATTTTTGAATTTTTTCTTTTATTGTTCTATTCCAACGTTCAACTGTTCTAGCTTTAGATGTGTCACGTAATATTAAATGTTTAATTTTTCTCCATCGCAAATATTTTTTTAATTTTTTATTTGTAAATTCTCTTCCTGCATCAGTAGACAATATTATTGGTTTACGTTTAGATGACTGCATTATGTAAATTATTGCTTTTTTAACCACATCAGCATTTTTATATTTCAATGGTATAGCCCATCCATATTTTGATAAGTTATCAATAATCATTAATATATAACGAAAATTATTATTCGATTTTGGTTTTGTTATTTCAATTAAATCTGCCTGCCAATTCTCATCAATATGTTTAGACACTATTGGATTACGTTTAAAATTAAATTTTGGATATCGATGAACTGTATGAGTCGATTGATTTAAAAGCCATTGTTTAACTTGATTTAATGTTATATTAGAATAAATGTTTTTAACATATTTATAAAGTTTAAGAGGCGTACTAAAACTAGAATAATATTTTGTATTATAATAATATTTTTTGAGTATATGATTAATATTTTTCCCAGTTAATGGCTTGTCTAACATTTTTAGGGTACTTAGCACGTATAACTTTAGAACGAAAACTTGCTGGTGTTTTCATATGTTCTTTATATTTATCTTTTTTAACTAAATTTGTATTTTTTGGAGATATATCGACTCGTTGGGATCGTAGATCTTTTATAAATGATTTTACTTTTAAAATTTTTTTAAACTTTTATCATTTGTCTTATAATTTCTTTTAAATAATCCTTTAGGTGTTATGTTTAAATATTCTTCCCGTTCTTTTAATTTTTTACTAGGTGCTTTAAAATTGTAAGTATATTTTCTTTTATTTTTATTTATATCTGGGGTTATGTCACAATCTGCTTCAATCTCTTTAAATTTTGGAGTTTTAATTTTTGGAGTTTTTACGTTTATAATTTCTTTTTGTTTATCATCATCATCTGATTTGGAAGCTATTACAGCACTTGTTATATCAAGGCATGCTTTTTCCTGTTTGATCGATATTATTTTTAAATATCAAAAATTTTCTTAGAGCTTCTGCATATAACTTAGCTTTAATTCTTTCATCAATATTGCTAGATAATATAGATTCTATTTCTTTATCCAAGTCATTCATTACTAAAAAATTTTTTGGTGTTTGATATTTAACTAAGTTACTTATATCATTTTGATGTTTATTCTCATTTTGAACAATTTGCATTTTTTTTAAACTCATTATATATAGATTTGTAAAGTAACTTTAAAGCAGAAGCAATCAATATATTCAGCAAAATATTTCCTCCTTGTTGTTTAAGATATTTTTTACGTTTTATAACTGAAGTCTTTGTTGCAAGTTTTCTTAATAATTTTTTATTATTATTTAATTTTTTAAAATCACAATTTTTTATTGGTAAGTTACCATGCAGACAGTTTTTAGCTATTTCAGATATTGAATTTATGACACAGATTTTAGCTAATTTTATTAACTTTTGTCTTTGTTTTGTAGATTTAGTATTAACGATTTGTTTCAGAGAGTTTTCACAATTTTTAATATTTTTTAATTTATTTTGATTTAATATAAATGTATTTTGGTGTTTCATTTGGAAAAATGTTTGTACGTACTCTTACATCATTTGATGTGTGTTGATTAAAATCTAAAAATAAATAACTGTACGGTTTGTTTTTAGTAGCATCTATATAGCTATCATATATAAATTTAGAATTATTTGCATCTATTTGCGAGCTTAGAATTTTAATTTGTAATGTTTTACGTGGATTACTCATAAGCACAATATATGTACTATTAGTTGAAATATCTCTCATATATTTACTTTTAGGAAACAAATTTTGTAACAATAAAATTACGGTAATATTTTTATGATGACTTAATTTTGTAAATAAATCACTAACAAGTAAGTCATTAGAAACTGTATGCATACAGTCATCTAAAACAATTAAATTATTATGGCTTGAATCAAGGTCATTTATTACATCATTATTAAAAGTATTTATTTTATTTATATGTATTCCATGTATTGAATTATAATCTGAGAATCCTTGAGATGAACAATATATTATTTTGTCAAAATATAATCCAAATAACTCATACATGTTTTCAATTAAATTTGATACGAAAGTTGTTTTACCACTACTTGATGGTCCACATACTAAAATACGTGAAGGGTGTGTCAAGGTTAAATCATAATTATTCATGGTTACTGTTAATATAAAAGTATTATAAATAATATGATTGGTTATTTACATTTATATATACTTTTATAGTTTTTATTTGAAATATAACCTTGAAATTATATTATAAAATCAAAAATTATTTTGAAATTTAGACAGTTAATAAAACATGGCTTTCATAAACCCAGATTTTGAAAATATTAAAATAATTATGTGCACTAATGGTTATAAAATCGATGGTGGCTTTTATTTGCGAGAACTTGGATTTTGTTATAATAATTTATCATCATCAATACCATTCAACTATAGAATTAATAAATCTAAAATCGATGTAACTAATCAATTTGTCATAGATTATATGGAAGATAATATTCATGGGATTAAATTTGATAAAAAATTTGAATTTGGATTATCACCAAGCGAGATTGTACCTGTAATCAAAACTTTATATCACTTAAATACCAATACACATGCAAAATATATAGCAGTTTGTAAAAACGATGATGGAATTAAAAGTCTATTATATAAAGCTGGATTTGGACAATATATCATAAATATAGAGAACTTAAATATATTTTCATCCACAATGATTCCAACAGATAATGATATAATGACCGAAATTACAAAAGATACTAATTCTAATCCATGTTATTTGCACGAAAAACTAAAAGTTACTTTAAAACCTTTGTGTGCAAAAGAAAAAGCTGAGTTTATGTATAATTTTTGTAAAAATACTCATAATAAATATTTTAACCCACAATTTATTAAAATAAATAATGATAATCAAATAAATACTGCAAAAACAACTATATGGTAAGTAAATTGTATTATTTTAAAAACTTACAATATATAATAATACAATTTATTTACAGATGCTGAAATTCTTACAAAAATGGTTCATCTAGAAAATAAATATATTATTTCTTATAATTAAATATTAAATACATTTAAAATTTAAAAATTTTTATTTTAAAATAAAATTATTAAAACAAATAATTTGTGTAAATTATTAAATTATATATAAAAATAATTATAAAATTAAACCCTCCACCAAATAAGTATATAATAATAGAAATTATATAGCATTAGTTGAGCCAAATCCACCATTTCCTCGTTCAGTCTGTGGAATATAACCAATATATGGAGTAACCTTTTTGTATGGTAACACTATGAGTTGGGCAATACGATCTCCAGGTGCAATGTTGAAAGCCAATTTACTGTTGTTAATAACCAACACTTTTACAATTCCAGTATAATCAAAATCTACAATTCCGGCTCCAATATCTATCCCTTTTACTGCTAATGAACTTCTTGGAGCAATAAAGCCAAATGAATTATTTGGCATGTAAATGCTTAATACAGTTGAAACAAGTTTTCGTTGAGATGGCAATATCATTTTATCCTCATTTGAGTATAAATCTAATCCAGCGCTTTTTGATGTACCTATGGTAGGAAGACACGATCCAAAATCCATATTTATTTTTAATTGTTCATCTAAAAAAATAATCTTATAATTAGATTATTACATATTTAGTATTAGTTAAACATACCTTTTGAAATAATATCATAACTTAAATTAAGTTTATAATCTGTGATACGACGTTCATCCAAATAATTAAGACAATCAATATAACATTTTCCAAGAGACTCGTTTGGTTTAATGTACAATGTGTTAGTTTTAGATATATTCCACAAAACAATTTGCATAATGTCTGAATTTTTGTTTTCAACATAAAACAACTTGCAGACAATATCTTTAACATCTAAATCTTCATTTTTAATAAATGTTCCCATATAATTAGCTGGTATTTCGTTTAAGTTATTTACATATAAAACAACTTTAGTCATTGGTTTCACTGCATGAAAATTTAGTGGTGTTATTGATACAAGTGGATTAATTTTGTCTCCGTTAATGATTAATTCCTTATATACATTATTCATATTGTCTGTAACTAAAAAAATATTAATGTTTTAATGAATTATGTCCAAATGGAAGACATGAAACTCCATCTGATAATATATAGTTCTTATCGTCCATAGGATGAAACACAAACTTATTAATAGATAATGTTTTAAGCATATGTTGTTTTGATTGAATTGTTGTCATAGATGTATTATAATATTTTTCATTTAACAGAACATTTTTATAAATATCATGTGTTAAATTATTTTTAATTACATTTTTTTGTACGCCTTTAGCAACTTTTTTATTTTCTATATTATCATATAAAATAGAATATAATTTCGGCTTTAATCCAACAAATTCATTCATAACTTTATCACCATATTCTGATTTTAAATATCCAATTGCTTTTTTATTTTTTTCATTATATAAGAAATGGTTTGTATCAAAGTTACTAAAATCCATTAAAGGATTTAAATAATTTTTTAAATCTTTATACAAATTGTTTGTTTTAATTTCATAAATTAAGCTATCAGTATCTGTATATAACAATTGAATATTTTTTTTATAATAATTTTTAAATGCTTTGTAATGCAAAGTATACATATAATGTTTAGATAATTCTAATACAGTAAAACCAATAAAAATAGGTTTATCTAAGACTACACTTGTTTTTTTCATTTTAATTAATGTAATATCTTCATTTAGTATTTGAAATGTATCAAAATTTAATTTCTGAATACATTTATTTGCTTGATTTCTATTTAAGGCGACTTTAACGTTAACATGCTTTCTTTTATCTTCAATACTTTTACCAAATACTGAATTATTCATTAATTTGTATAAGTCTTTTTCAAAATCATTATTAGCTTTTTTTCTTAATTCAGTATTTATAGAAATATATTGTTTTAAAAAATTGCTTTGTTTAAATTTGATACCTCTATGAATTGCTTTTATTTTCATTCCTAGTTCTAAATATAATTTTAATGTTTTAAAATGAATAATATAATTGTTTTTATCATTCAAAGTTAATAATAATTTTTCTGTAGGATATCTACGATAACCAAATTGCTTTAGTTTTGTTAACAAATTAGTTTGATATAAACTTAGCTGATTATTTGWAACTTTRTTTTTTTCTGGAGCAAGTGGAAAATCTTTGTGTAAATYRTGTAATTCACTAGGGTATTCAAGATCACATTCTAATATATAACCAAATTCATTTTCTGTATTTATATTTGACCAATCAATAATATTTAATATTTCTAAATTAATCCATTGAAAATTACTTAATGGAAGTTTTTCACTTAAACTTTTTCCATATAAATTATTAACATCAAAATGAGCTAAAAATGATTTCTCTTTTGAATTATCATAATTATTACAATATTTATTGTTTGCAATTGCATATCTTTTCATTATATTACAGATTCCTCCTCTGATACCTTTTTCTATTAGCATATACATATCAATATCTTTTAATAATTCAATTTCTATTTTTGTCATTTTTAAAGCAGCACACCATGATAAACCAGGAATACTGTAAAAATGACAGGGGTCTAATTGATAGGTATTATAAATCATATTTCGAAATGTTTGAAAAACATCAGCTAATAGACATGTATCTAACAAACAATAAAAGTTTTGAAATTCTTTAATATTTTTAAATTTAAATTTTTCCTATACTTTTAAAACATAATTATAATCATCTGAACTTATAGTAGATGCAGATAAATGTGAATAAAATTTATCAATTGATGGTAATTTGGTTTCTTTAAAGCGAGACCAATCATCAAGATATTCATAAGGGTAAGGACATTTTCTAAATAATAATTCTATATCGTTAATTGGTATTTTTTCTTCAAAAACAAATTTTGTAATTGAAAAATTACCATTTGAAGCTTTTAAATTTTTTACAAGTCTATCTAGACTATCATTTAAAAATTGACAAGAATCTAATATTTTTAAATTATCTAATTCAAGTGCAAGAAATTTTTCCATTGAATTGGGAATAATAGTACATTTACTAAAATAATTATTACTTAAACTATTTACAATAAAATGAGAATCGTAATTTTTTAAATTATGAAAAAATAAAGGAATTTTTTTGGGGATTTGATATAATAAATTACATAAATTATGGGCAGCACCTCTATATTTTCCAGTCATATGATCATGATCATAAACTTTTTCATTTAGAGAATCATTAAATGGTAATTTACACAAATGACAAATGTGATCTAAGTGGTGTTTTATTTTTTCATTTTCAGTTATTATCATTGATTTTGGGTTACTTATTTCACCATAAATTAAATAAGATACTGTAGCGAGTATACTTAAAAATTTATTTAGACAATTTTTACCAGTATATACATTTTTGTAATATATTTCACTTTCATTTTTTACGACTACTAAAGAAAATCCTGAAGCAACATGTTTATGTATTTGCCTAGACTTTATATTAATCATCTGATTATCTTTAACTAAAAGTGATTCAAAATCAGCATAAATAACAAATGGAAATCTATACATAAAATTAATTTGTGTAAATTTCATTATATCATTTTTAGGCATTACAGCAGCAGAAGGATTAAAATGTTGACACAAATATTTATGATTCTCTAGTCTAACCTTAGTTTGAAACCCACTTAAACAATTTTTACAAAAATAATGATTAATTGATGAATAGTTACCACATAATCTATTAAAATTTTTAATAAAATAAAAATGATCATTGTAATATAGTAATTTTATAGTGTGAATAGCTTTCTTTTTAGATATGTAAATAGGTATAGCAGAATGAGTATTTTCTGAAAATCCGCTGTCAATTCCATATATATTTATTCTTATTTCTAAATGTTTATTTAAATTTTCAAACTTTTTAATATCTTTAAGAGTAACTGGATATGATATATTATTAAAGTTTGCAAAATTTTTAAATGGTAATAAAGAATCTAATCTTCTATCATTTAAAAATTCATTAATTTCAAATTTTTTATAATACAACAAAGCAATTTTTACTAATATTGACCACATAAAACATTTTTGATCAGTATTTTTTAAAGAAATTAATGCTTTTTTATTTTTAATACAATCGGGTAATTTGTTGTTAAAACAACCACCTCTTAAGGGATTATATATTGCAATTCGCAAATCTAATCTGTCAATTGAATCTATTATCCAACCGCTTCCGATTGCTTCAAAAGTTTGTATTTTATTTTCAAAATTACTAATTAATTTGTTAGTAATGTTAAAATTAAAAGAAGATAATATGTAATTATCACTTGTAAAATAAGATATTGTATATATTTTTACATTAGCAACTGTTTTGTAAAACGTTACTTGAAGACAAAATTGTACTTTAATTGATTTAATTTTAGCTAATAATAAATTTAATAGTTTGAATATCTTCAAAATGTACATAAAAAAAATCGTGAGGATCTTTATAATCTCTTTTTGGATAAAGTTCATATTGTTGTAAAAAATTTTTAAATGCACTTTTAGATAACATAAAATTATGTTCTTTGTTAGAAATATTAGGCAATTGTTGATTGCCTTTGCCAATTTGATTGATTTCACGTAATTTGTGTAAAATAAATGTAGATTTAACTTTATAAATTTTTCCACAAATATTACAAATTATTTTGTTTATATTATTATTAAACTTATCACAGTGTAAATAATGTGCACGTAATTTATTTGATGAATTAACTGTATTCTCACATAATTCACATTTATACACAAATACTTTATCACTATGTATAAGACGAATATGATTATTATATAAACGAATCTTAGTATATATTTTATCACAATATTCACATGTGATTGGAAGTGTAAAGACGTTGTTTTGTTCCATATCTATAAGAAAATGAATAATAAAAATTTAATAACAACTAATATAATATCAATATTATTAAATATAAGTTTAATAATTTTTATTTTTAACGAAAAACAATGTCAGTATCCAATAGATTATGTTATTAAAAATGATTTAGACAATTGTTATTTATCAATTCATAATATTATTTCTATAAATTCAAGTATTGATAAAGTAAATAATAAAAAAATCAATTATTTTCACACTTATATTTCATCTTTTACAAAACCTTATTTATTGGAATTGGTACATAATTCGTCTAAAGATTGTTTATGTTGTAATTAAATAATCAGAATTAAAATGCAAAAAAATTTATTGTAAAAAAATTTATATTCAATGATACATCAAGTAAAGTTATTATTTGATTATATATTATAAAATTCAATTTATAGTATAATAAATGTTCTCAGTTTTAGTAAATATACATTTATGATGAAGTAAATGCAACGTGATTTTGTTCAGTATGGATAAGCAAATTAATGTCATATTCATCGAGAACATAATTCCAATCTCTTTCACCAAATGCATGATCAAAATCTTTCATAGTCATTCCAGGTATTATTCTTATTTTGCATGTATCCATATTTAAACAATTTTTTATAATATATTCAAAGTATTTATCAATGAATAAATAATCATTTATATCAACAGGAATGTTTTTGCGTATTTTATATAAGATTTCATAAACAGCCCA